TGTGAGTCTATAGTTATACATGTGGGTTTAGATGTCAAAGTCAGGTGTCTTTCTCAGTCCCTCTCCAATTTGTTTTTTTGAGATAGCATCTCCCACAAAGCCTGGAGCTCCCCAGTTGGCTAGACTGACCAGTGCTCTCCAGAGGCCTCCTGGTCCCTGCACCTCCACCACTGGAGTTACAGACTTGAAGGGCATGACTGCTCCTAGGAATGGTGGAGGAGACGTCTACCTTAGACACAAGGAAGAGCGCAGGATCATCTGGGCGAGGCCAGAGTGGATACAGCCAGACTTGACTGGGCCATGTGAGGAGATGGGGAGAGGGGAAGGAGAGGGGTGAGCCAAACCAAGAGGCCAGGAGGACAAAGGGTAAATCAAAAGGGACAAAAAAGAACCAACATAGCAAAATTGTTGGATTATATAGGGAAGGGTAGCCCAGTCCCAGGCTGGAGAAATTTGGGGCAGGGGATGGGTATGCCAGCCAGGAAGCCCCTATAACTGGTAGAGACAGGCACACAGGGAGAACCAGGTGGCCAGTGTCTGCTTTGATGTTAAATAGGCACCTAGGCCATCCCCCACCCCCACCCCCGCTTGAGATCTAACAAGGTCACATCTGTGTTTTTTTTAAAAATGGTTGCTGGGTCCTCTGCACTGAGGTTTTTATGCTTGCGCAGAAAGAATTTTACCAACTGAGCAATCTCCCAAACTCCACAAAATAGGGTTTTAAAGAAATATTGTATGACAGAGGAGGTGAAAAGGCTCAAAGTTTGCAATGGTATAGAGTTTTGGGCATGAAGAGGCTTTAAATATTAATATTTATAATTATATACACACTATATATGTATATTCTCTCTATATATACTCTCTCTATATATATGTATACACACACATATATATATGTACACATATATAGTATCAAACATAACTGGGAACATTAGTGAGATTGTAATAGACACCTTTAATGATCACTTGCAAATCTCTTCACACATGATTGTTAGAAGATAGAGGTTTTGAGATGAGCCGAGGGGGGCATTTTGGTGCCTAACTGCTGCACCCTCTTGTATTAGGAAGCTCACAGAGAAGGCTCCAAAGGTTTGGTTTCTTGTAACATCAAAATCCCCTTCAAAAGAATTTTCTATGACACGGTTACCCAGGCCAGATCACATTCTTGTACACAGTGACTCACGAGAAAAAAATAAGGCGCAGCTGGAGCTTTAAGGGAAGCCGTTTGAGGAAGGGCGATCTTTAGCCAGTGAGTCACTGTGTACCCACAGAACTTCGACCAAGGCTTGCAGGGACTATTCTGTGCTGAGAACAAAGACACCAAAGAGAGAGGCACGGGGCGGAAACTGGGGTGGGAGAGGCTGTGTGGGGAAGTGGAGTCAGGAAACACGTCCCGGCCCTAACTAGCAAAGTCAGGCGGAAGGACACGCAGCCGCTGGGAACAAACTCCGAACCACGCTCAGGTGAAAGCACTCAGGAGTGATGTCCTGAGTGAGAGAGATATGTCTTTTTACGATCGTCACCACAGATTTCTACTGTCGAGTCTTTCCTAGAGTAGAGACGGTGTGATTCAGGCAGTCATTGCCGTCCTCCCCCAGGGGACAGTCTGCAGCAAGGACGCCAGATTCCCCTGAGCTGGGCATCGCGTCGGACAATTTAATTCCAATCGAATGTCTTTTCCTAAAGCATTCAAAAGGGCACACGTTTCTCTGGAGATGGGCGTTTTACTTACTCAGTTTTCTGTTCCAGACCCTGGGTAGCTAGCTGGGTTCCTGCAGAGAGAGGCAGCGTCCACAATAGCCCCTCTGTGGAGGCACCCACTGGGAGACCTCGGCTCCAGCAAAAGCAGCTTTCAGGGGAAAACGGGGCTGGGACTTAGCTGCCAAGAATTTAATGAATTACTTTAGATATTTCTCTTGCGTGATCAGAAATTTGAAAAAAAAAATCTGTGTACGGAGCACATGGCAGTGGGGCATTGAAAATCTGCCTCACACACTCAGGTGTCTGTTATGTGTCTAAGTGCTGTTTAAGGCACACACAAGGATTCTTATGAAGTCAACATATACCTCCGAATGAAAATCTCTCTGTAATTGGCATACATCTCTGTCATCAGCTTCCTTGGAAAATAAAGTCATATGATTGATAGTTTTGGAAAAGATAAGTTTAGTGTTAAGATTTTTTTCCCCCCTGAGGCTAGTTTAATGGAAGTTTCCTGTTCAGGAGAAAAGGTAGTTAAAAAAAAAAAAAGGTAAAAATTTCCATTATGCTTCTTTCTGTTTTTTCACTACGTGATATTTTTAGCCAGTTTTGGAGAATGACCTTCACCCAGCAAGGTTAATGAGTATGCAGCTTTCTGTTGCAGTTTGCAGTGGGGAAATGCAATACAGTTTCAAACCCTTGTGTCTATCCAGCGTTTCGATTTAAACCACGCACATCACTGCTGAAAGTCTGCAGAAGAACACGGACCATCAACTGAAGGGGATAACCTCTCATGAGGAAAAACTCCGCTTTCAAGCCTTCTGAAACAACAATTACACTGATAAAATTTTTGCTTTAAAAATGTCTTCATTCTGAAATAATCAGAGTTACAGAAAATATTTCACTCTGAATGATGAGATTAATTGGTGACTGGTGTCCACTTCCCCCCACATACCTTAGCATGTATGCATTTATTTACAGACAAGAACATTTTCTTAGCTATTGCGTCCACATCAAAATCAGGAAATTGACTCTGATATATCAGTAGGGTCTAAAGTCTCGGATTTATTTAGTTGGGCTAGTAATGGATTTGACAGGATAAGGACCCAGGGGAAGGCAGCATGGAATGTTTGTCACAGCTTTTTAGTGTCCCCTTGTTTGGGACAGCCTGTTAGTCTTTTCTTGATGTCCACAACCTTCCTACTTCTGGAGATGTGGTGGTATGTCTTCATTTGGGTTTGCGTGATGTGTCCTTATGATGACATTAAGGCTATTGTTTCTTGAGCTGATACTATCCTGTACCAATCCTCTGTTCTGCGCTGATAGCATTCACTTGATGCAATGGTATATTCTACTTAAGAAATGTCTTGGAGGGGCTGGAGAGATGGCTCAGAGAGTAAGAGCACTGGCTGCTCTTCCAGAGGTCCCGAGTTCAATTCCCAGCAGCCACATGGTGGCTCACAACCATCTATAATGAGACCTGGTGTCTTCCTTGCCAGCAGTACATTGTATGCTAAATAAATAAATAAATATTAAAAAAAAAGAAATGTCTTGGAAAGCCGAGCGGTGGTGGTGCACGCCTTTAATCCCAGCACTCAGGAGGCAGAGGCAGGCGGATCTCTGTGAGTTCGAGGCCAGCCTGGACTACAAGAGCTAGTTCCAGGACAGGAACCAAAAAGCTACGGAGAAACCCTGTCTCGAAAATTCAAAAAAAAAAAAAAAAAAAAGAAAAAAAATGTCTTGGAAGCTAGGTATCCTTTTCCACATCAAACTGTTCGGTGTTCTGGTTGGTTTGACTGTTGATTTTCTGTTTTATCGTGCTTTGGTCTCTCTCTCTCTTTTTTAAAGATTTATTTATTTATTATGGGTACAGTATTCTAAGTATTCTGTCTACATGTATGCCTACAAGCCAGAAGAGGGCACCAGACCTCATGACAGATGGTTGTGAGCCACCGTGTGGTTGCTGGGAATTGAACTCAGGACCTTTGGAAGAGCAGGTAATGCTCTTAACTACTGAGCCATCTCTCCAGCCCCCCCTTCTTTTATTATTTATTTATTGATTAATTTATTGATTTATTTTTTGTGCTTTGGTCTCTTCCTGTCATTCCTAGTGTACGTACTCAACAAATCCACTCCCAGGAAGATAGTCAGTCTTCCAGGTTAGCTGCTACATCTTCTCTAAGATGTTCTCCCTAAGTGGCTTGAAATCTCATTTCCCAGCCTGGACTCCTCTCTCTCTCACCCTCCTTACCCTCTTCAGAAGCCTCTGACATGACATCTCATGCAGGGCAACATACCCTGCAGCGCACGGCACCCGTCAGCGCTCTATGCGCCAACAACAGTTTGTGAACCGGGCAAGGGGCTGGAGATTGAAACATACAAAGACACAGGTACAGAGACACAGGTCATCCTTGTTGCCAGAATGCCCCAAGAATGCCCCCTTTATTGTGTTCAGGAGCAACTTATATAGAGATAGCCACGCCCCAGCCAAACCCACCAGAAACCACTCCCCTGCCATGAGGAACTCCTGAGGGTCTCGTGCTCAGAGCAGCTGTAGGCACTCAGATCAGGGGAAAACAAGTTGTTTACAAGAAATTCAGGATCTGGGGCTTCACTGCTCCCAACAATACCCTGGCCTAGATTCTCTCTTCATCCTGTTTGAACTCTGGCATCCGAATATTGGCCACACCTGCTCTCAATCCACCTGCACAGACCTGGTAGGTTTAGGAGAGACTCATTCAGACCCAGAAGGGGGAGGGAATAAACGGTAGAAAGGGAAAAAGGAGGATGAAATCTTGTGTACGACCCAGTAAGAAGATTAGAAAATGATTATTTTCAATAATAATTAGATCATCCACTTAAAAGGGAATGATGAAATGTGAATACCTCTTTTGTTTTTAGATTTTTTTTCACACGGTATATTCCGATAATGGTTTCCTCTTCCCAAACTCCTCCCAGATCCTACCCACCTCTCTATCCCCTCAAACCCACACTCTCTCTTGCTCTCTCTCATTAGACAACAAGCAAGCACCTGAAATTAATTAATTAATTAAGATAAAACAAAACAATCCAGAATAGGACAAAACAAACAAATGGGGGGGGGAGCTAAAGAAAAAAACACAGAGACACATACATCCACACACAGAGAAATTCCATACACATACATACACATACATCCACACACAGAGAACTCCATAAAAACACAAAACTGAAAACCACATTATATAAGTGAAAATGGTTTACAAATTTGCAGAACTTTTGGGAGGTTTCCTTTTAACCTCCATCTTCCCTTTGATTTCCAGAATGTAAGCATGGTGGTTGAAGCATCACGATCACCCTGACCTGTGAGGACAAGTGTGTGGTCAAAGTCTGGTGGAGCTAGATCTAAAGGAGCTCGGGCCCTGGGGACAGCAGGAACCTGCCCTCTGAGCTTTGGACCACCCTCCCCCAGATGGGTGAGAAATAAAACCTGTGTTTGATTTATGGTTAATTTTGGTTTTTATTAACTTCTTGGTAACTCAGCTCTGAGTGCCATTCTCTATCTCAATCACTGGCAAGAGGAACTGTTACCTTCTGACTGGTGGAAATGGGTTCTGGAAAGTCGCAGTGACTACCACAGTAAATTCTCATCTCTTGAACAGATCTTCTATTTATAGAAAAAGTAAATTGCAGCTGGGCATAGAGGAACATGCCTTTAATCCCGGCACTCGGGAGGCAGAGACAGGTGGATCTTTGTGAGTTCGAGGCCAGTCTGGTCAACAGTGAGTTCCAGGACAGATAAGGACACACAGAGAAAATGTCTCAAAAAAAAAAAAAGTAAATTTCATTGAGAATGCAGCATTCTTAATGCCCACACAACGTCACCTCACTGTGAAGGCTGCTGTGTCTTTGATACAGACCTTCGGTATTTCCTAGTCAGTGCAGGGGAACTTTGTTACGCACTATTTAGAATCTATGTTTTCAAAGGACTCCTATGACTTTCAAGAAGAAAATTCTTGACCATCTTTCCAAAGACATAATTCCCCAAATGTGAAGTTTCTTTTTTTAGCTTATTTAGGCTTTTTAAACTGAACACACATGCGTTTATTTAAGAAATGTTCTTTTGGACCTACCAGGGCCTACACCCATAGAGAAAACTGACTGTGTCTTCTCTAGAAGCCATCAACTGCCAAGAGTCCATGCTCCCCCAGCTTCACTTCTGGGAATGCTCAGCGCTGGCTGATCTTTTAGAGGTCCTGTGCAGCCAGCCAGAGCTTCCATGAGCACAGCAGTCTTGCATATCCAGAGGGCACTGTTTGGGTCCAGTCCTCTTGACCTCCGGTGCCCACGATCTTTCCACCTCTTCTTCCTCAACGGTCCTCAAGCCTTGGGGAGAAAGGGCATGATATAGACGTCTCATTTATAGCTGCACACCCCACAGACACTATTTTTCGCACTTTGATGGGCTGTGAGTTTCTGTATTAGTCACCATCAAAGACTCTGATGGGGGCCAGAGAGTATGGGCAGAGGCATGAATTTAGAAATCAGGTCGCTACTATGTTCACTTAGCAAAATAATAGTAGTAGGCCCTTTTCCTGGGGCCCATGAAGTCCTCATCGGTGGATTTTTGGTTAGATTTATTGCACCAGACAGGCGTTTCCTGTGGTAGAGCCATAAAGACATTGGATCTCTTTTTAACAATTGGGCCACAGTCACACCGATGACCAATCTGAATTATAAAACATTTGTGTTTCCTATCCTGTCTCATCCTCGGATTCTAAGGACCACCGGGATGCTTCTGAAGCATCTTAAGGAGCATCCAGGCATGGTGGTCACATGGTTTTATGGTGCTTGGCCACATCTTTCTGTGTCTTGATTATTTCTCAGCCTCTTTACTTTTCTTAAACTTAGTTATTTTCAGGCATTTTTTATACAAGCAAGAAAATCTTAATTTAATTTTTTTTCTTGGTCAGGATAGTGGAGGGGAGGAGCATTTAAGTCAAACATTTCTGTGAAATAAGCTATCTTCCACATACAAGCAGCCCTTCTGACCTGACAAACACAGACACTGCAAACATGAAGACAGTAAATTTTGGACAAGCGAGGTCATGTGTGTATAACAAAGCTATCAGACTCCACTTGTTATAAAACCATAAAGCCGCTCCTCATGTCTCCAGTGGCTTCCCCTTGATTCACAGCCAATGTTAGCATTCAATTTCTCTTAAATCTTCATGGAAATTACAGATATATGTAAGTAGTTGTGAGCACAAAGGTCTCTACCCCCTACCTCCCACTGAGGAGACATTCTCTAGAGGAAAATCGAGACTTCTACCCTTGTCAAGTAGTTTTCAAATCACAGCAAGACTTGGGTTCCAAGGCTTGTGGAAAACACTTATGAACCTTGTCCTGCTTCAACCCAGAAAATGCCCTGCAGTCTAAGACAGGGTATCTCTAGCACCCATAGTTGTGAAATTCCAACCTTGAGACACAACTGAAAAGAAGAATAATTTAGCGTTATTAACACAACCATTCATTTTGCCAGGTGCCCTGTTCAGCCATTGGTGGGGTGGAAGAGCTACCTCAAGACTCAAAATTGAATTTTAATCTCAGAAGTCTACCTCAGGGGCAACGGAATGTGTTAACAATGCCACTCTAGGGTCAGGAAGGTCACTGTGGACTGCAGTGTGAGGAAGAGACTCTGTTGAGCAAGGTTGGGAGGACCTGGAAATTGTTCTAGGCAGAAGGATTCTGGGCACCAGATCAGTCGGGAGTTCAAGGTCGAGGTAGAAAGGACTCGGGGGTTGGGTAAAGACTCGGCATAGGCAGTTCTTCCTAGGAGAGTAAGTAGTTGGCCTTCTGTCTTGAGATACAAGGCTAGTTAGATGTTTGTTTTTGACACCAAGTCTCACCCTCTGGCTCCAAGCTATTCTCCTGCCTCAGCCTCTCAAGCATGACCATGAGACACTGTAGGCCATTTTAGCTTTAGCAACGGTCATTAATAACCAGGCGTTGATGTACAGGGTGGATGACATGCCACAGGGCCAAGTTTGCTAACGGTTCATTCCTTAGCAGAGCGACCCAGATGCTAGATTATGAGGAATAAATTGGGTTGGGAAGGAACCCTGGGAGAACGAAAGTGCTCACAAATCTCTTCAGAGGCCATTCCTAGGCAACCCAGCTTCCTCAAGCCAGGGCACAGAGACAAAGAGAAGCCAGAAGGCAAGCTAACCCTCATCCACAGAACCACGTAGTTTACATGCTCGCTGCTGCTGTTTATTGCCTAAACCCTTAAGCTAAAACACCACAGCCAGCTCAGGAAAACAGGCCAAAGATGCCAACCGCTTTCGTGGTAACCTGAGTCTCCTCCAGTGACCCAGGAAGCCGCGGGGCTAAGCCTCCCCATCGGGGCCCGGCGACAGCTCCCCCGCCAGAGCCACGGAAGGGAGAGGCCTGGTGCCCGCGTCCAGTCTCACTCCACGGTGGCGGCGGCGGTGCAGGCTGCGGCCTGGAAGGGGCGGTGCTGGGATCCTCCGGGCTGGACTGCCCAGAACCGAAAGCAGCTGCTGCGGGGAAGCGGGGAGGAAGGAGAGGCGGCTGCAGGGCCGGGAGGTGAGAGCGGGGCCCGGAATGAGCCGGCCGGCGCTGCTGAGCCATGGCTCTGCGGCTGATCACCCACTTCGACGTGCGGGCGGACGTGCTCCCGAGTCTGCGGGCCCAGGCGGCGGCAGCGGCCGAAGGAGGCGGCGCAGGTGCGGGGCGCGCGTCTCGGAGGGGGCGGGCGGGCAGGTGCCAGGCATCCAGCAGGGGCTTTGGGGATGGGGAGCGGACGCCGTCCCCACGGGGACTCCTGGGGATGCCCCGCCGAGACGAGTGGTACCCGGGGTCGTCACCGGGAAGGGTAGGCGGGAGGCGGAGGGATGGCGCGCCCTCGCCTGTCCCCAGGGCTCACCTAGGACCAGGAGCGCCTCGAAGTGTAGGCTGACCTGGTGTGGTGGTCAAGAAAACGACCTTTTAAGTGTCTTAACAGTCACCTCGCTTGTCCCCAGTGAGGATGCTGAGCATTCCCAGAGCGAAGCTGCTTGTAAGAAGTGGAATTCAGTGGCTTTACCCCTTCTTTTAAAAAAGACATTTGCTGCATATCTGTGGAACAGAGTCTGTATTCCTGGAACAGCTCTGGTGGCTTAGGGGACCTGTCCCTACAGGTGTGAGAGGGTAGTGGGCCCTTTCAGGATGCCCGCAGCGAACTCAGTGTCTGCAGGGTTCTAAGGGCCCAGCAGCTTGCGCAAGAGCCACCAAGCACACACCAGGCACCCGTTCCACCCAACCCCTCACCGCTGTGAGTCAGGGATGCTCGGCTTCCTACCCTAGCCTCCCGGTCAGTTGGAATTAGTCCCTGATGCTTAGTCTCCTCTGGCGGGGAAGGAGGGGGCAGAAAGTGACTTTTGTGCATTCCTAGAATAGATCTGCCTGAAGGAGGAGGGTCTGTAATCTCCTAAATTTTCCCTTTCGTTTTTAAAGGCCATCAATAAGGAAGCATCCTCGGGGCTTAACGGCACCTCTGGGTCTCACCTTGTGTATAACAGCTGTACTTGCTCGCCTCTTTCTGTCTTTGGTTTTCCTTAGACACTAGGTTGTCGTGGATTGGGGGGGGGCGCACCAAATTACCCGTATCCCCAGTTTCTTCCCTCTGAACTCCTGTGGAAGTCATGTCTACGCGACTCCCATGCACGGAGGAACATGGGTGATCCCCTCGTCTTTGCATATTGATTGCTGGTCATACATCAACAGCTTTATAGCTTTACGAAGGCTGCGTGGTTTCCACTTCTCTGTCTTCACTGAAGTCTTTGAAGGTCTAACTCTTAGAAGTAGTTCAAGGAACTCCAAGTCTGTTTCCCACCCCCAAAATCGATCCTCCTTGGATTTGCTAAGTGGCAGGAGATTGCACATTAGAAGCTGGGTGAAAAATGTCACAGTCTTATGTTTCAGTGTCGTGTGTGTGTGTGTGTGTGTGTGCGCGTGTGCTAACTTTTGGCTTCCTTGCGTCTCTCACTCACTGTGAAGAATTATAAACCTGTGTGTTGATGTTGCAGTAAAAATCTAGGCATTGTATTTTGCCGTTTTTGCTTGTTTTGTTTTTGTTTTTGAGCATGTCCCTTGATTCCCACCATCTTATTACTTTTGATAATCACCACTGAGTGATAGCTTGAAACAAACAAACCAACCTAGGGGCCGGGAGGCGGCTCAGCTGTTGAGGTGCTCGCAGCATGAGCATGGGGACACAACCTTGAACCCCAGCATCCGCAGAAAGTTGGGGAGCACATGGATGCTTGCAGGGCTGCTAAGACAGAGGTAGCAGAATCCTGAGGCTTGCAGGCCAGCCACGCTGGCTGAGCTCCTGAGAGCTACCTTCAACAACTGAGGAGGATACCAGCCCTCAACTCCTGTCCTCCACAGGCACATAAGCATGTGTGAAATCACACGCACACCTA